TGCATGACGTCAACTAGAAGGCAGAGGGAAGGTAAAAAAAAACATGGCTGCGCCAGTTTTAGCTGGAATGCCCTCTATTTCTTTTTTGAAAAACGAGCAAAAGGACGAAATGTTTGCCTCTATGGATGGGAAGATGTCTGCGTGTTCATCCCGACCAGATCTGGTAAGAGATGGATTTATTATTTAACTCCGCTAGTTGTAAAACAAATATTATAATCACAGCTGTTGCTACTTCTTCTGTGATTGACTAAGAGCTCAAAATGGGAGTCAGGTGACACCAATTGGCTCATGCAGATTTTCAAAAAGTAACCTCAGTACACCAGAAGTGCCCATCAAAGGATTATTTTTTCAGTTCTTTAAATAGGTTTGGGAGGGTTTGAAGGAACACCTTTTGCCGTCTAAGATTTCAACAATGTTACAGTAACAGTCTTGCCTGCCTGCTGTTGTGAGCTGTTTAGTCGAGGTGTAGTTGCGAGGCTGCGCAGGTCTCCGCACATGGCTCACAAGCCTGAAGAAGCGCTGCAGGGGTTTATACTTAATGCTGAAACTGGTATGGTATTCTCTGAAAATACAGGGGCAGTACGGAAGTATATAACCAGTTGACCCTATGTTAATGCCAACCTGAACGCCACAACTAACTGCAAGTACCCTACCAGTGTACCAGTACGGTATGTCAATGCATGCCAGGCCAAGGCTGGCACAGTAATTTAACTCAGGTTTTAAGGGTTTTTAGAATTTGTCATTTCTACAACAGAGCTACATGTTTGCCTTTTATCTTAAACCTGCTTTTAACAGAATACAAGTGAAACTATCAAATAGGTTTGGACTGGAGAAAAAACAAACCTTAAAACATTTCGTATATTTCTAGGATGTTTTCATTGATCAGGTACCATCTTAAAATGAACATTAGTACTACTATACAAAACAGCTCAAACTCTTATCATTTTTTTGTAGTAATCACTGCTTTTTGGTAATATTTTAATTAGATTTTTTACTAAAGAGTTGTTTATGATTATTAAAGTTTATTGTTTTCACAGGCCACTGTCATTTAGTTCACTCTCATTATTACACTACATCAAGCTGAACACATGCTACTTGCTGCCTGTTTATAGACAATGTTAATCTGGCGGTAATGTCTGCTTACTCAAAATTGCTGAAATGAAAAAAAGAAAGCCTGGGTCATATCGATGTACATTTTTAGAGGAGTTGTGTCAAAGGAAAGAAGTTGATTAGTAAGGGAAATTTAAGCTATTTAGCACTACAGTGATGTATTTCTGTATGTCTGCTTCTGTCTCCTTGAACCCCAGATGGTCGCTTACACTGAGCCTAGTTCTGGTGGAGGTTTCTTCCTTTTAAAAGGGAGTTTTTCCTCTCCACTGTCACTAGAAGCATGCTTAGTGTGAAGGATTGCCTTCGAGTCAATAAGTTGATGCAATCAGCTGGTTTTCCTTAGATAGAAAACTTTGAATCACTTTGACTGTATGATGTTTACAGTTGGCTCTGTAAAGTGTCTTGAAATGACATGCGTTGTGAATTGGCACTATATCAATAAACTAAAATGAATTTAATTTTGTTATAGCTATATTTTAAACATATACTCATAAATTAACCAACATTCCTCCTATCCTTTGTAACCCATTGATGCAATACTGCATCCCCACCAGTTGCAGGAAAATGACCAGGCCTTATTCTCTAAACATTGTCAAAAAACCTTTTAAATAAACATCTTCTGAGGATATAACTTCTTAAGACCCCAACTTTGATTGGAGGTCCTAGTACACAGAGCCCCTCGCCAGTTTTAATGTAAATTGCTTGTTTAACGGCTGCCCGTTTAATTAGCTTAGCATGATTACACTTCGCCGTGGTTGCAGTTAAGCACACATTTTCATATTCATGAATCTTTACACTAATTCATCCTCTTCAGATGCAGCTGAATTCACTGAGAATGTCTTCTCATTAACCAGGAAAATGTAACGGAGACAGTTTGTTCTCATCTTTCAATCTTTCATGCAAATCAGAGCTCAGAAGCTTCTTTGTTTTGTGGGTGTATTTCATACATTGTGGGTTTTCCAAAAATCACAGCACATCGTGGGGACAGACTGCCATCAATGGCTACAATTGCCGCTTTAGGGTTAGGTGTTAGGTTTATGACTAAGGTAGGAATTGGGTTTAGGTTAGGGTTAGGTATGAACCTGTGGTGTTTAGATTTAGGGTCCGGGTAAGGCTGTAGAAATAGGTTATAAACGAGTTGACGTCAATGGAAAGTCCCAACAAGGATAGTAAAATATAACTGTCTGTATGTACTTGTTTATGTTTCCTATTTAGGATTGTTTTTGGTAAATTTACTAACCCTTTGCAGACCAAAGACTGATCCTAATGTGGTAGACCCACATTTTTATTGTTATAGAGTCAGTTTAGAGGCAAGGTGGGAATTAACTTTAAATTAGAGTTATTGTTAGAATTATGTGATAATAGTTAGGATACATGTCAGGGTTCAGCATGTAATAACTAAAATGAATCTGAGTCAATGTAATGTCTTAACATGGATAGAAATACAAACTTGTGTTTGTGTGTGTGGGTTGGAGGGGGGGCATCATGTACAGGTTAATTTACAAAGGAAAATAAAATAAGGAAAGAAAGAGCACTTTTTAACAATTTTTGTTTGCACACGGTTATCTTGATATGTACGTCTTGTGAAAGAAGGATCAAAAAGTCTTATTATGTGAACCAAACATCCACATTCTCATACGAAAACAGCTCGAGGGAGTTGAAAAAAGTAAAAAGAGAATCTACTTGTACAAATAAAGAAAACTCCAAAAACGGTAACCAGAATCAAATGAGAAAAAAACATTTTTAAAAACTCAGCTTGTAATTTTGAATCACTCCCACTTTAAACCATCCTTGGGCCTCTAAAAGAAAGACAAGGTAAACAAACCCACTGAAGATACATTTTCTAAAACCACATCTACAATAATCCTCCATCAAGGCAGCTGGATACTAGAGGGGTTGGATAATCTACCCTGAAAGATACTTCAGTTTTGTTTTTATATAAAATAAATAAAAAACAACATCCTACAAAAACACAACCTCGGTTTTACAAAAGCATTTTTGTTTACAAGATTTTGCTTAAACAAGGCTTCTGATCAGTTCCTCCTTTAGCCAGCTGGTACCAAGGAGCTATTATGTTACTCTGTATTTCCATATCTTACCTGTAAACAAACTATTTCATACCCACATGCATTTCAAACCAGATATTTGAATGCAGATGTCAGCTAATTTTTCCAGAATTATTATTCTTTTATTCTATTTAAGAGCTGTTCAGTTTGATCTACTTTCCTTAATACCATTTAGTTGGTGTTTAGCCATTTCCTCCAGACAATGAAACTGAGTCAGGTTTGTAAGCCACTTTACCAACATCCACCTTTTCATGTCCATCCATTCTCTACAGGACTTAGATCAGAGCTTTGTGATGACGGCTATAAAACATGAGCCCTCTAGTCCTTTATTGTTTTTACAAAAAGAAAATCTGGATAAATAAATAAAAACTTTTGATACAATGTGTTTTTTCAGACTCTAAAAGCCCATTGAACCTAAACTTTGATTTCCTTGCCTCAGTATTTCCATATACATAATGTTCTGTCTTTATTGTGCAATATATGTGGTGCAACACACCGCCACCCCATTATGTTACAACGGTTATCTTTAGCTTAAAAGATTTTCTCTTTTTCAACCAAATTTATCTGTGGACATCAGGGTGAAACACTTCATTTTCTACCGGTTTCGGCTTCAAGTTCAACTCAATGTTTTCTATCTGACTTGCAAATTTCTTTAAAACTGAAGTATCCCGCTTGATTTTTCTCCAGGTGTAATGTGGCTTTTTTAAAATTAATTCATTTTTTCATTCTTTACGGTAGTTGTAAGTATGTGAGTGTGTACTGGCTTCTTCCTCACTGAGCGGCATTTCAGCCAAGAAAGATACAGGTTTAATTTCACTGTTAATATTGACACTCTCTTCACAGCTTTAGCAGCATTACAAGGAATTTTGCTTTTGTTCTACGGTTATTGTTCTCATGTCAAAACGCGTTAATCTCTGAAACACAGAACCTGTCTTGTTCCTGAAATCATAATGACAAGAAATTTCAATGCTGTTTATATTGGTTTAAGACTGTTTGAAAATCTGTATTAGGCACCTCTAGCCAACTGATTATTGAAGCGGATGAATACATAAACTGTATACCTTAAATGCATTTTTAAGATTTGCCACCATTTAACTCAGACTTTGTGAATTACTTCAGGTGCTTACAGCCATGACACATTAAGGCGTTAGAAGACATTCTGATGTTGGTTACTAAAAACCTCCCTCTTCAAAAAAGGTCATTGATAAAATCCGCTATATTTAGTATTTAGCAAATAAAAATACTTTTTGTATAACAACTGATTCGAAATATGAAAAGTTTAATCTGATTTAATAATAAATGAACAAAATAAGGGCTTCTATATTTTTTTCATGTTGTAACTTGCAATCCATCCCACATAATTTTAAAGTAAATATTTATATAGAGATTAGTTGTCAATTTAATCAAAAACGGTTAAGTAAATATTTATTGGCTGCTCTAGCTTTGAGAACACCATCATCAATAAGAGGTGTGTTTTTGTAGCCTTAGGTGCATATAGCATAGACTATACAGTTATATAGAATCAGTGGGATTTTATTCTTATTACTGCTTAACCTTTTCCCACCTGTTTTACGTGGTAACAGATATTGAAAAGATGTATTTCCTTATAACCACTGAGAAAAAGGCTGAAATGTGAAATGCACAGCCGTGTAAAATAATTAGTATTTTATTTTATTTTTTAACAAAAGAAAGCACACAGTTTTACTGCAGAAAAATAATAAAAACAACAGTCGAAACCTAAGTAGCCTATCCAAAAAGTTAACCAAAACATGTCCTAAAAGACCTTCAAGAAGACTTTATTACTGTACTTTAGAAATAACTCACCAGTGCTTCATCCTCAGAGAGAACCCGCTTCTCATCATGGACAAGCACCACTTTAGCTTTGATTTCATCCACCGATATACTAAGGGGGTTAAAAAAAAAAAAGAGTTATATAAGCATTCCATTTGGAAGTATGGTTAATTACATTACAAGACCATATCCAGTACAGAGACAAACAGCTTACTTTTAAAATGCATTACCATAGCAGACATTTCAAATTGCATTAAAACCTAATAAAGTTGTTTCCTAAAGTTTGACAAAACAACCAACAGCCAATGAAGGAAATGTTGAATGTAAGCAAGAAACATAACCCATACCTTTTTCCTGCTTTCAAAACACAAAGCTTTTGTATAGTTTCTATACAGTAGTTCATTTATTTTTACCACAAATTCTTGTCATTAACCATTTTTTTTATGCTTGTGTGCTCCATCCAGAGGTTGTGTCTAAACTGCCCCCCCAGAGCACAGATAATGACTGCATTGCCAGAATCAATCCTGGGAGCGCATCAAAAGTGAAAGAGCAGGCAAACATACAAAGCAAATAGTCTGTTCAGCCTACAGAAGATCAATGCTTAGGGTAAGTGCTTGAGAGAAACAATGCCTTTCACCATTGTGAGAGCTGCACAGAGGCTGCAGAACAACGGCTCTGAAAATCCGCTGTGAAGTAAATTGGCTTTGGCTCCAATCATGCAGGGCATTTATACACACGTATATATAGACCACTGAAGCACAAGAGCAGGAGTTTTGCAATGTGCATCCTTTTGTAGGCTTCCCTGAGAAAGTCGGTAATGAATATCATGGAACTCACAGATGTACGCAGTGATAAATCCATGCAGAGGGGGAGAGGATAAAAAGCACATCCTGTTCGCAGGCCTTTGGGAGGCTCCATCATGGTTCATTTCCTGAAGCAGTTGGTAGACTCTATTTATAGGCCAGCATACTAGTACCAGTTAATCCTGAAATGGGTTGCCAACTGCCTGCCAGCTGGCACAGTGGGTTATGTTGGCTATGTGTGCTGCACTGAACGGTTTGGGACGAAATGCTCAGAAGAAAGGCCAGAATCTACCTCATAACCAAAGTTTGAGGGAGTCCCTCTATCGCAAAATGTAGGATTCCTACACATTTAGATTTTTAGACTAAAGCTTTGAGAGTTCTCACCAAGTTTTAAGTATAATTGTGAAGGAAAGAGAGATTGGAAGTTCATTCAATGGTAGATTGATAGAGGGACAAACTAATGGATATACAGTGGGAGGGATCTAATATTTAGATTATTGAAGTATCATTCTTTATTCCGTTTCTCCATGCTTATATAGATCTGGAAAATATATTTAAAAAAATATGTCATACCTCTTTAAGCTTCCCCAAAATCCATGTGAACACAGCCAAAAGTGTAAAGGTGTTAAAATGATTATTATGGATTTTTGCAAAAGTAAGCTTCCATGTAGAAGTTATGAATTTACAGTATCCTAACTATTTCAGAAAATTCTGGTTTAACTTTTGCTTGGAAAATGTTGAAAAATTCTGCCATTGCAGAAAGCCCAATTATGTTTTTTTTTTTACACATTTTGAAACAACTTCTACACTATTTCATAAACATTTTAAACTACAAAAATGATTAAACCGTTTCGACAAGGATATTCATGTAACACCCTATGGCTAAGCACGGCAATGGCTGCATCAGTCTGTGGTCCATTTTTGATTACAATCATTAAAAAACTTAACGTATGTTAGAGAGTAGATGCGTTTATATTGAAATGCAGTGTTAAAAATGAATTACTGTTTTACCTATTGTCTGGAAAATATGGTATCAGCTTTTTAAATTAACCTTATTTTATTCATTTTTAAACATTGTCACTTTATGAGAAATATATGCTGCAGAGTTTTATTTGACACGTTCTGTTTTGCAATACTTAATTCACATCTTGGCCATCACATTACATTCAACGCCAGGATGATAACAGAACTTGAGATTAATGAGGAAACGGACATATTAAGTTCTTCAGAATTAGGGGACATATTGACCTCAAAATCGAAAGCTGCCCATATACAGTACTTAAAAAAAAATAATAACCTCAGAACATATTTTGTGTAATAAATCAACAAATCTTGGAATGTAAATTAAAATACTTTGTTGAAGTATATACTGGCATATTCATGATAAATACACTTAATGCTCATAGGACATAACTGGCAACATTTTATATTTTGTGAGCATATCACAAGGAGCCTTCTTAAAAAAAGAACAGTTTGTTGGAGCTTGGAGATTTTGATAGATTTTTTGGGGGGGGCTTTTTCCTGTTACAAGCTGCTTACTTGTCTGCACACTGCAAGCTTTTTCTGTAGTTCAGATAATGGTCATGGTCATCCCTCTATTGGAAGGCACCTTTCTTTCTGAATTTTATTTCTCCATACTTTGGTGTACGTTGTGTAAGGAGAATTTGGTTTGGCCCATTCAGGCCCCAAAGTTGAATCTATGAAGGGACTTTAACACTAGGTTGATGTAAAGTAGGGCTTCAAACGAAACAAAAACTTTGGAGTTTATAAGAAAATATATATCCTTTTCCATCAAAATAACAGTGAAAACATGTAAAAACCTGGTCAGCAACAGAAACCTAGACTTAAACAACTTTTATTGTCATTTTGTATACGCAAAGTGTATAAAAATGAAATTTCTTTTTGTACAACTTTCATGACATTTCCATTTCTTAAAGTGCAGCAGTGATCAAATATAAAGAGTATGGAGGAAAAAACATGATGCAAAAAAAAACATATTAGACATATATGGTGGAATTATGCAGTGTTTTGGTGGTGTTGTCAGAGTGACGAGAGTCTGTGACATGATTTTGAGCTTTCTTAACAGTTCAGCTGTCTGATGACAGTGGGGAAGAAGTAGTTTCGGAATCTGCTGGTCCTGCATTGAATGCTGCGAAGCCCGTTTCCAGAGGGGCAGCAGGGAGAACTGTCCATGGTGGGGATGTAAGGGGTGTGGGAGAACAGTAGATCTTCTCTGCTCTTCTCACCTTCTTCAGTCTGAGGCGCTGCAGCCTCCACACCACACAGTGAGACAGCTGGTCAGAACGCTCACTATTGTGCTTCTGTAGAAGGTGGTGGGGATGGGTGGGGGCAGGTGGGCTATCCTCATCCTCATCCTCATCCTCCACAGGAATGATATGCTCTTTTGTGCCCGTTTGACCAGTGAGGCAGTGTTTACAGTCCAGGTAAGGTTGTTTTCGATGTGCAACCCCACAAATTTGGTGCTGCTAACTACCTCTACAGCTGAGCTGTTAATGAGCAGTGGAGCGTGGTTAGGCCGGTTCTTCGTGAAGTCGACAAGTGTCTCCTTCGTCTTCTCCACGTTCAGGATCAGGCTATTATCTCTGCACCAGTCCACCAGCTGCTCCAGCTCCTCTCTGTAGTTCAGGTCGTTGTCGTCTCTGATGAGTCCCACCACCGTGGTGTCGTCTGCAAACTTCACGATGTGATTGGTGATCCTGGGGACCTGACGCAGTCATGTGTCAGCAGCGGGCTCAGGACGCAGCCCTGAGGGGAGCCTGTGCTTAAGGTGATGACATCAGAGGTGTTCTGTCCGACTCAGACTGACTAATGTGTGGTTGTATGGAAGTCCAACAGCCAACTGCAGAGGGGTGTATTGAAGCCCAGATGTTCCAGTTTTTCTATCAGATGCTGTGGGATGATGGTGTTGAAGCTGAACTGAAATCCAGGAACAGCATCTGCATGTGGGTGTTCTTCTCCTCCAGGTCTGCCAGGCTCAGGTGGAGAGCAGAGGAGATGGCGTCCTCAGTGGAGCGGTTCTGTCGATACAGTAGGCGAACTGGAACAGGTAGAATGTTGGGGGGAGACTGGAGACTTTCAAAGTACTCCATTATGATAGGAGGTAGTACAACAGGCCGGTAGTCATTAAGTGAGGTGACCAGAGGCCTATATGGGACCGGAATGATGGTTGCAGACTTAAAGCATGCTGGCCCTATGGATCCGTCCAGCGGGGTGTTAAAAATGTCTGTGAGGACACCAGCCAGCTGATCTGCACACTTCTTGTACACCCACCCAGGTATGTTATCGGGGCCTGGGGACTTTCTCGGGTTGACTCTCCTCAGAATCTTCCACACTTCAACTATGTGAGGTTGAGTGTCTCCTCTCCTGGGGTGGATAGGGTTAGGGTTAGGTGGAGGACTAGGGTTCGAGTGTCTCAAACCTTCTAAAGAAGTTTAGTCCATTTAGGTAGTCAGCAATAGCTGCATCTAATGAGAAGAGTTTGCCTGTTGTAATGTAAACAAAGTTAATAGAATCAATAAACCATATTTTGGTTAAGCATAATATGATATAAATCATTTTTCTAAATCATTTTTTCTTTGAATACTCCTATGAACATGGGGGTTATTCCTGCAATTCTGGTAGAGTCTCAGGAAAGGATTCTGATTGAGGGCTGTAAAGATACCCTCTATTCATGTTTTCCGAAAATCCAATTCGAAGTGTCACTAAATCATGTATGCTCTTCTTAGGAAGTTTAGAGACAGGCCATTTAAACCAACCTGTGGAAGATCTGAATGAAATATTTACACTGTATTCATTTATATCCAAACTCATTATCTGTTATAATAAAGATGTTTTGCAGCAATTCCTTTATATGATTTAAAATGTGTTCAAACCTTTATGAAAATAAATGATTGCAGTCTTTGTCATGAAGCAATTATTGGTGACTAAATGGACATGAAAATGAGATTAGTTCACAGTATAAATGAGAGAATAATTATCTGTGAATCTGCATTAAACATAATTAGCAATTCCAATGAAGCAGATTAAGAATTGGGGAACGTTTAGTTAAGTGTCATCAGGGACAAAGTCAGACAAATAACTTTTTTGTACAACATAAAAGGAAATGCAGCATGCATGCTAATCAAGGAAGCAAATTGCCAGGCAACTGCAAGCATTAGGAATAAATTGTGACACTGCATTTATCAGAGAAGCAGCTAAATAAAGGTTGACACTTTGGAGAGAGATACAGGACCTAAACTGTAATTTACGGAATAAAAATACAATCCCTTCACCTCCTGCCTTATTTAGATCAACATCTCAACATGTAGAGCATAACGATTGCTAGCTCAGAATAGTCTCCTGGTTCATATATATCGACAGTGGCTTCCTATAAATGTAAAACATGTGCAGATGTCTCAGCTTAATGACTTTCCTTAAAATACAAATCATCCCAAAACTGCCTTTTTTTTTTAAACTGTACACATGAATGTCATAAAGTGCCATCTACATTTCCTAGGCATTATTTTCACAAACTACTGTGCTCCTGTTTAAATCATGCATTTGTGTCTAAAACTACAGTATGTTTGGCACACTCCTTATGTTTTTTTGCATCAGTATTGGTGTTTGTTATTATTATTGTGATCTCACCCATAAAAACCTGATTTGAGTATCTCTGTGGGTTACAATAGTAGCTCCGTCTATATATGGTGCCATAGTGAGTTAAAGCAAGTCTAGAAAAAAACTTAAGTTACATATACACATATATAAAACCTATTATCTGTCATCTAAAATGCAAAACAGCTTTATTACCACCCTGTGAGGTGACCGACTGAGCTGCTGCAGGTGTGTCAATTGGAGTCAATAGACAGTTGAGAACATTTGGACCTCTACGAGATGCAAAGTTAATGTGTTGCATAAAGGAGGATTTTTTTTTTCCTTGCTTTGTTTCCATTCAGCTTGGTTGGATTGGTCTTTGTGTAGTTTTGTTAACTTAATTTGTGACAATTAGAGATATTTGGAGATTAGCAGGCTTTTTTTCTCTTTTTTTTAACTGTTGCTTTGTTTGGTTTTTATATCTATAATTTGAATTTGTAGTCATTTTTTGGGGTGGTGTGTTTCACTTGAATTTGTTGATCTATGTTGCATTTTTTTTTCTCCATTCTGTCCCTTGCTGATTATGATCAGCAAGGGACAGATTTAAACAGCTGTTGCAGTTCACGATTTACTTGAATGAGTTGGCTGACTGTGATCTGGATGTGCTGTTGCGGATCAAACATTTGGTCATCAAATTGATTTGGTGAGTCTTCTACTTGTAGATTAGCTACAGTATTTTGTTTTCCCCCAGAGGACTTGTGGTGCTTTAGGGGTGATTATAGGTCTGTGACTTGAGCTTTATCGTTTGTTGGGTGTGAGTTTTCTTTTAATGCAAGCTGTAATTAGAAAACAGTGGATTCCCCCCCTGCAGGCTTAGCGGCCTTCCTCTTTACGATTGCTGCAAGGAGTATGGTATCCTCACAGCCAAATTAGGCTAAAGCATGCTTTGAAATACATCCTTGGATCCCAGGGGAGTAGCTAGTTTGCCAAGTGGATCTCCAGCCGATCAGGCTTCAGTACATAAAGACCTGCTGCATGTGCTGCATGAGGACGAAGGTGGAGATTTGTTAGCGGGAATTAAAGTTAGAGGAGAGGTTTCATAGATGCTACTATTTAAGTAAATAAGTTGAGCTTTAGGATGATAAATAAAAAGAAAATGCTGATCCAGACACAGTTATTGCTTTGCAATCAAAGGAGGTCTTAGAAAAGTCCAACCAGAGAGTGATAGATAAGCATTTGAAAGAACCATTGAAAGCGTCTTTTAAACTAAAGTTACTTGAACTGGGTCCTCTTAAGGATGATCTAGAAGCTTGTTTTTCCATTTTGATTCCAGTTTTACAGAAAACCTTAATTCCTGTGATGCTGCATGAAATATCTAGGCTTTGAGCAACAAAAGGAGATCATGAAAAAAATGAAAGTTAAATGAAATATTTGTATTTTCAGGACCGTGCTTTGGAAAAGTCATGTGTTAATGACTGAAAGCAGTGACATGTTGGACCATGCTGATGGTGATATCTTTGTGGGTGTGGCTCCATATTTTATTGGTAACTTGAATGTCTTAATGACTTTGTGATATTTGAATTTCTTGTTGTTCTGGACTGCTTGATGTGGGGTCATTCGGGTTCTGGTGTAAACAGTTTTTGGTGTTGGTTTGGATGATAGTTGCTGCTAGCAGTTTGTGTCGTTACTTTCCTTAAGTTGAACTGTTGACCTGTTGGTCGACTGTTGCCATCAAGTCTTGGAGTCTTATATTTTGGTTGCTTCACAGGTACCAGGGTTGCTAAAGAAGGTAACTGGTCAAGTCCAGTTAAAGGGTCAACTTCTAAGTTCTTTTGTTTTGCAGGATTTTTGGTGCAGTGTCCTTTGTTGGCACTTTCTTTGTGAATGGGTGTGTTGGGTGATTGGCTGAGCGGCTGTTAGGGTGTCTCAATCATTTAGATCACAGTAGTCATCAACTATACTATACTATAAAGAAATTGTTAGGTTGCGCGTGGGGGATTTTGGGGTTATCTCTCACCTCTGTTGTCCTCCTGGGTTTTGCTTGTTTGTTGGTTTGGTATGGCTTGGTTTAGATTGGTTAATTCTGTATTGCACAGGTTTGGCTCTTCTCAGTTTATAGTTAAAACTGTTCATTTTATTGTCTTTTTTCCAAATAAACATTAATAAGTCATGTCCATTTCCAACTTTTTTGTCACAATCGTTGAGCCACTTTGTGACAACTTACAGCTCCAAAACAGTCCCCATTCTTTGGTTGGAAGCCTTGCGAGGTTAAGTCCCACTGTGATCGCTATCAATGTCTATGTTGCTATGATCTGTCAACTAAAGCCCAGACAAAGTAGAGGCCAAGAAATAAGCAGCTAAAACCAACAAGGTGTAATCTCTAACTGCCAATGTTTAAAAACACAGGCATTAAAAAGTAGTTTACATGTTAAACATGTAAGTTTTAGTTGGAAATGCAGGAGAAACCTGAAGTACTTACAGAGAGCCCATGGCTATTGTTTTAACAAAATGTGGTTTAAAATGAGAAAAGGTGAGAATATTACTATATAAAGCTGTCAACTTCAAATGTTTCCTAAAGAAGTTGGTAGTTGCTGATCTAAAGAAAAAAGTATTTAAAAACAATGTACATCAAATAATAAGAATTTTAACATATTTTAGAGTGAAAAAAAAGAGAAATAGAGTGCCAACCTTAGATAAACAGTAAAGGAAAAAAATCTGTATTTAGTTATCAGTATTTGAAGGCTTTCTTCACCAATGGTTTTCTTTTACTTTACCAGACTTTAATCACTTTCGATTTACAAAAGTATATTGTATCCTGATATTTCAAAAACTACTTTTCAACACTTGCAAGAAAGGAAATACACCTTTAAATGCTGCACAGCTTCTTTAGGATTCCTGCAAGGTTTTCTGCATTGTCACAGGTGTTCAAGGTAAACTTCAGTAAGAAGGCTAAGGATATTAGATCAATAGATAGTGAAAACATACAACTGAAACATAAAGAAACACTGAAAACAGCCAACCTTCCAAACCTTTTCATAGCCCAACACATTCAAGCCCCTTACTAAAATGAATAGAGCAGGAAGTGAAACATGTTCTAAAAACTTCTTTAATGTTTTCTTTTTTTTTTTTTTTTTTTAACACTTTACAGTTAAAAAAAAATAAAAAATAAAAAAGAC